AAATCGCCTCTTCTCGAAGTCTAAAAATGTTTTCTTATCTTCTGAAATTCGCGAACACTGATTCATTAAAACCCTTCAGCAATTTTCGCTTCTGCGGTCCCGTAACCGCTTATGCGGGACCGCTTCTGCGGCCATATGACCGCTTATGCGGTTTTCATTAAATCCTTGGCCTTCCGCTTTTGCGCCCAACCATCCGCTTCTGCGGATCTCACCATTCCGCTTCTGCGGCCTCATTTTCGCCCTATCGCGGACCCGCTCGAAGCGATACCCCGTCCGCTTTTGCCGAATTACCCCGGTCTCTCATGGATCGCTTATGCAATCTCTTAGCCGCATCTGCGGAACCGCTTCTGCGGCTCCTTTTCCGCAGATGCGGAAATACCAGAAGCCAGGTGCACCAGACCTGCAACAACATCAAGATTCTCCGTTTAACACCCGAAATCACTCCGAGCCCCCCGGGACCTCAACCAATAGCACCAACACACCCCAAGACCTTATTCAAACTTGTTTCCAATCATCAAAACACTATCGTTAACATCAAAATCATCAAATTTCACCAAATCAAAGCCTAAGTTCTTCAAGAACTTCCGAAATGCATTTTCGATCAAAAATCCAACCAAACGATGTCTGAATGACCTGAAAATTTGCAGACATATCCAAAATCACCCAACGAACTGCAACTCTCGGAATTCCATTCCGACCCTCGGATTAAAATCTCGCCTAACAACCGGAATTCGCCAAAATTCCAAATTCGCCAATTCAAGCCTAATTCTACACCGGACCTCCAAATTCAATTCCGATAGCACTCCTAAGTCACAAATCACCTCCCGAAGCTAACCGGATCATCAGAAATCATATCCGAACCTTCGAACTCATAAGTCAACATCCGGTTGACTTTTCCAATTTAAGCCTTCCTTAAAGAGACTAAGTGTCTCATTTCCTATCCAAACCAATTCAATTCAACTCTAACTCACTCGTTGCTGATAATGAAACATGAAGAAGCAATAAATGAGGAAAACAGGGCGGTAATACCTGATACGATGGGTCGGGTCGTTACATTCGCTAGTGACAAATCCATTTTGTTCATATTATAGTTCAAGCGAAACTGTTGAAAACTGTCAGGCAGAGTCTGCAGGACCATCTCAACTTAAGACTCCTTATCAATCACAGCTCCAAGGACCTCCAGTTCATTCAGAAGACTCATCATCTTCAGAACATGGTCCCTGACCGATGATCCTTCAGCCATTTTCGTGTTCAAAAGGGCTTTCATGGCTGTCTGCTTAGCTGCGGGATTTTGCTCACCGAACATCTCTTTGAGACTTTCGAGCATATCATAAGCAGACTCCATGGACTGATGCTGATGTTGCAAAACATTCGCCATAGAGGCAAGAATGTAACATCGCGCCATCTCATCAGCCTTAACCCATTTGTCATAGGCTTTAACCTGATCATCCGTAGCATTTTCAGGTTTTTCTGGGCACTCCTCAGAGATTACAAATTTGTAACCTTCAGCAGTTAGGACAATATCAAGGTTCCTTTTCCAGTCAACATAATTAGGTCCTTCTAACTTGTTTTGGTTCAAAATTGAGGTAAGTGGGTTGAATGAAGACATGGTTAATCTGGGAGGTATTCATATTAAATAGATCATTAGTTATGTATTAAGAATGATTAAATTCAAAATTGCACATTACACATATAACCATGCTCATTGAACAGTTAGATTCGTTAGGGAAACTTAACTATTCATGCAAAATATATGAATGATGTCAGATATTAACCCCATAAATTTAAACAGGACCAACTCAGATGGAGAGTAAACTGTTAATTTAAGATAGGTAAATATCACTTTTATAAAATTCTAGTTTCATTCAATCAACATGTAACTCAGTTGGAGAGTTAATACAAGTAATGAAATAACTAGAGGCTAAAGAAAAACGCAGTAATTATCTATAATGAATTTATCCGATGTGGAAGAAGACCTATGTCAACATATAAATTCATTATATTACTGTAGAACCCGTTTAATTTAGGGTTTAGGGCCTAAAATCGCGTATTCTGCAATTTAGGGTCTGAAGGTTGCATGTACTGTCGCGGTCCTACCGCGGTTACGTCAGGACCGCGGCTAGAGCGACCTTCAGAATCAGAGGTAGTGTTCTGCCGCAGTCCTACCGCGGTTACGCCCGGACCGC